ATTGTGAGTGTTTGTTGGTTATATATATTATAGAGATTAAATATCAACAAATATACTAGTTAAATTCCTAAAAAATTGTATAATTCCATTATTTTGGTCTTGCCACTGCCGTTTAATTAAGGTTTGAAATAAAAAGTAAGAATTCTTGTATTAAATTTTGTGGGAGGGGAAAACCCTGGTTTAAAAACATATAAGCATATTTTATTCAGTGCATAATAAATAAATCGCAAAAACAAAACATATGGAAAGATTGAGTGCATTTTGTCGTTAAATAATTTTGAACAAAAAATGGTAAAATTATTAGGTTTTTTTTTAGGAAAGAATGTATAAAATTCACATGGTAACTATAAAATGTAACACTGTTAAGAAGAGTTAGAGGAGGTGAAGCTTCCATTAGTAATATTGCCTTAGCCTTCCAACCTTTGTACTGAAGAAGTAGTAATGTTAACTTGCTGCATTCCGTATAAATGTCACAAAATCCAGTGCTGCTTTTTCTTTCATATTGGGCAGAATTTTGTTTTGCAATGGGTAAATGCTGAATTATGACAGTGATAACTTAAAAGCAGTAACATGTATTAAAATTTCAAGAAACAGCACCTTCTAATAGAAATTAGTTAAAAAAACTAACATTTCTTTTTATGTTCTCTCTTCCTAATTTTATGAATTTCTGCACTATCTTTATTGTAAATTTGCTAATAACAAAAATCTGTGCATATTTAAAAAATTTGTATATTTTATACAAATATAGAAAATTCTTCCATGGTATTTTTCGAAACCAGTTTGTATTGCTCGTATGCTTTAACATATTTATCAGCACATTTTTGTTTTGTATAAAAGGAAGTTCCTGTGAGCTATGAAGTCAGCAAATAAATATTTTTTCTCAAATTTACTAAGTCTCTAATGAGTTCGAGATTTAAAAATTCATACATTTTAATAAATTTGATTTATTCTAAATTTCTAGTTTATTATCTTGCATGTAATACAGAATTCATCTAAACCACTTTTGGTATCAAGTTTCATATATTAGAAAATCTTTTTTTTTCTCCGTGAAATTTTTGATAAATCGGTTCAAATCATTTCACTGGCTGAGAAATTAAGATCTCCGAAAGCTAGTGGTTTGATTCCTGGGCAGATGGGCTGGCTACATTAATAATAACCAGTTTCCATTTGAAAATCCTTCATAAAGGCAACTCTGTCCTTATGCAATTAGTCCTTGTGTATTGTATCATATTCAAATATTCTAACTTAGTTTAGTTTTTCAAAGATATTTTTAAATTATATCTGTAATCATGTTACCCGAGTTCATATTTTCTCATTATCCATACCTCTGCCGAAAAATTGTCAACTTTCTAGCAACTAATTTTTGTGCCAAGCTAATGAAATAGCAGTATTCAAAATGGTGGTAAACTAAACATTCCATAGACGAGCAATCAAATTAAAAAAAAGCAAGAAATATTTACTTTCTCAATAAATCCTTGTTTTTTCACCCCTGTTCTTTTCATGTAAACAATCTATTTTCACTTAAAAAAAAATAAAAATAAAAAAAAATTGAAGAATTGCACAAAATCAGCATCTATGTAATCCAGTATTGTGCATCAGCCAAAACAGACATGTGGTATGTGCATATCTGGATTGCCACATAAATATTTTCTAGCGCTATCATGGATTGCTGCAGAATTATTCTGGTGACATATGTCTTTACTCGTTAATATTTCCTTGTCACTTCTCAGCTGAGGTGTAGTTAATTGGAGAATACTATTCAGTTTTATGTTCCTCTAAATCTAAAAAAAAATTGATCTTTTTTCAGCATTTACCTGTGGATGCCAATGTGCAGTGAAGTGACTGCCACTTAGTTTGACCCAGGTTCGAATCTCAACAAACAGGCATGGCTGCATAGGCATTTCGGTTGATCTTTAGATTATGGTAACTTGGCGATTTTTTGGCGAAAATTTGGCGATTAACTCTCCTACAGCAACCCTCTATTTTTTTTTCCCACCGCCATTTTGTCTTCACGAAGTAAAGACATGTTTCTTTTCTTTTTATCTACTGAACACTTCTTCCAACAATCTACTAGCCGAATTACACTTATGCTAGAAATTTATCTAACAAAACTGCTTAATCATGACAAATATTCACTGCAAAATTGGGGAAAAAGTGCACAATACCATACTCCTTACGCGTTTTTCAAATAACACATACACATAAACCATGTACAACGCCGACTTATTTTTACTTAAAAAAAATCCCAGAATTGCACAAAAAATGGCATTGCGTACACTCTTCACTATATCCATGTACACTGCTTTTTTTCTCATAAATTAGAAAAATTTCACGAAAATACATGACAATTTTCTCAATCTTTAAACCCGGTAAAAAGAACATATATGAAATTACCTGATCGCGAAAAAGTATTTACCCTTTCCAAATATGAACATTTCCACATATAAAATAAATAAAATATCCAAAAACTTTTACCTCTAATATCTATTATATTATAAAACGTCACCATAACAAATACTTAGTGTCAGATATTTAAAATTATTTCCATGCACGTTTACTTCACTGAAACGTATACCAAATTCCTACAAACACATAAAATTCCAAAAAACTATCATTTAATTAAAATATAATTAAATTCAAAACACTACTTAAAATATAAATGAGCACATACATTAATTAATAAAATTACCTTACCTTACAATCCTAATTACTTTAAAACTAAATCATTGCTAATAACAATTTTCCCAATAATACCAAATTCCTTTACTTCCACCTTATATTTAGAACAATGCATAAAATAATATCCTCAAATAATTAAAAATACTACTTACTTCACCTCATCTTCTTCAGAATCTTGAATACGTGTCCGATAAACTTTTCTTTAGTTACGGCCATGGGATCCAAAATTCACGAACACTGTTTCACACAACACAGAATAACCAAATATAAAATTTCCAGATTTCCCGATTTCCCGATTTCCCCCCTTTTCCTATTAAGAACCGTAATTCGTCCATTATATCACATGACATATCCCATGATCTCTCATTTCCCTCACACAAAATAATGCGTAATCGGAACTGAGTACTGCTCACATTATTACCAAAGTCCCAGGTAGTAACCTTTATCGCCTCCAAAATGTCGCCAAACTACCAGTTACCATATTCTAAAGATCAGCCGGCATTTCTTCTTCCCCCATGCTTAATGCAGATACAAACGAGTTTTCCTTAAGCAGAATGTCTTTGCATGCTTTGTCATAATGAAAAAAAACCAAACCTTACCCTCATGGTGTAGCTAAATAAAATTTTTGCAGCCATTCGATAAATTATGTTCACACATATAAGTGAAAATCCTCTGTAGCATTTTTAAACAAAGGCTAGGTTATTTAAAGTGGGAAAGCACAGGGTTATCTAACAAAGAGAATTACTTTCTAAGGAAAACTGGATTGTAGTCACATTGTACTTGGAGTAAACCAAACTTGTTTGCTTAAGATGAAAATCAGATTGAACTATTATTATTCAGCAGGCTTAATTTCTCGGTTACTGGTAGCACCATGTAAGAGAAGATTGCAGTCTAGGCCTTTCTTAAAAGTGAAGCATTCTACTTTTAAGAGTGATCAAAATCGCTAAATGTTGGAAATTTAACCTGAGTCGAACAGGCTGGCTGCATATTTGGTGTTTGTGATTTCCTTTCATCTGTAACATGAATATAAGCCAGTTTTCATTAAAAAGTCATCTATGAAGACATCTCTCCATTTAGGCATATATTCCTTGTGTGTGTTGCCGTATTTTAAGTAATGTAACTTAAAAGTGAAGTCTTCCTCTTTATATTACTATTCAATTAAATTAGCAATTCAGAACTATGAATTAACTATGTTAGTTAACTGAATCTGAAACTCCTTTTCAGTCATTTGGAAAATTAAGTTATGAGAAGTGTCCTTGAATAGTTTAAGGATGAATAAAGTACAAATGCTAAATTTAAAAATGTGGCAAAAGATTTGGTACTTTTTCATTAAAACTATACTGCTTGCCATATTTTGTTTTGCCATATTCCCTTGAAGAAAAGTAAGGCAGTAATTCTTTTTATAAATATCATGAATGTAACAACATTTTTCGCATGTTAACATGATGCCTGCCCTTTAATTTTATATTTGGTTCTTTATTAGTGTGTTAATTGCTGTAACTTTATATTTTAGTTTTCCATATTTTAATCATTTAAGGAATAATAAATGTAATACCTTTTTGCTGTATTTGTTTTATTTCACGATTCTCCTTTATTGAAGAAGGTTTGAGATGAAACCGCCATAAATCAAGAAAACTTATGACCTGCAGTTTGGTACCAAGGGAAGGAAAATTTTTTTAAAAAAAGGAGGGTATAGGCCAAGTATAGTGATAGATGCAGGGAAAGAAACTAATGATGCTAAAATGTATGTTTAACTGAAAAATATAGCATTATCATCTCTTGTTGATGTATCGTCACTTTTAAATTTGATTTCTACTTTGGGATTGAAAAGTATTTTTGCTGTTGGCACAATAGTTTGTGTAAACAACTGTTGGTTAAAATAGGCCTATTCTTGTATCTCACTAAGGCTGCTATAAGCAAGTATAGTGTTCTCTCTCTTAAATTATTCATATTTTTATGCCAGATTCGGCAATTCTTTTACTTCTTTATAAAATCGAAATTTTGATTTGCATTTTAAAGTAGGCAACTAATATGCATTAAAATATTCAATGATAATAATTCTAAAATTTCAGAGAGAATTATTTTGATTTCTAGTATACATTCCAGGTGTTCAGGAAGTTTTTGTTCTGTGACAAAAACACGAGCTGTTATTTTAAGATTGTGGTAGTTTTATTGTTTATAGCAGAGCAGAAATATTTTATGTAATATAATTGTTTAATCTACTGATTATTTTATTGGTTTAAAAATCACTTAGAAATTCATAATGTGTTCAGTATGTATTTTTATAAACAAATTTGTCAATTCCTTTTTATTTCATCTAGTTGTTTTAGTTACTGGTGCTTCGGGATATGTAGCAGCCCATATTGTAAAACTGCTCCAAAGTGAAGGGTACAAAGTACGTGGAACTGTCCGAAGTTTACAGAATGAAGCAAAAGTAAAGCCTTTAATGAATCTTTGCCCTGATGCTCAATATCCTTTAGACTTGGTGGAAGCAGATTTGCTCAAAGAGGATACTTGCAAGGAGTAAGAAATTAATTTTTTTTAAGATTTTCTTCACTTTGTGATTTTAAAAATAGATAAAATATATCTGATTTAATATATATTTTTGAGTTTGTGAAACAATATTATATTAAAGCTGCAGTAAAGTTTATATGTAAGAGAATTGGTTAGCATGCGAGAGATATCTTTATTGTTAATTTCCATAACTTAAATGGCTTTGAATCTTAAACAATTTCTAACAAATTTTATAAGTAGTGTTACGAAATGTCAAGGCATGGTGAGATGACTTCGCTGCAAAGCAATTTTAGGGTTGCGATAAAATGGCAAGGGAAGGCAGAGTTGTCGCATTTGGCAAGAAATCGCCCGTTTGGCAACAAAATTGGCGATATGCCATGGACTCATGGAGAACCTTCTGGAACGAATTCTTACCGGTTTAGCCCAGAAGGTTCTCGAACACAAGCTGAAAGTTATATAAACCCTGCTGGTCCGCAGTTAGTATCGAGTGTGTGTGTGCCTCGCCTAGAGTCAGAGTCAATGAGTGCCTCATCAAGAGGGCGAGAGTGTGTGCCTTGCATAGAGTGAGAGATAGTGTGCCTCCTCGATCGAGCTGATAGTCAGTCATTGAGTGTGTGCCTCGTCTAGCGATCCCTGCGGAGTCTATCAAGTTGTCAGCCGAGCAGCGAGTGCTGGTGGGTCGTCGACTGCTGCTTTTTTGCTTTTCTTTACAATTTATTTTGCCATCATTCGATGTTTTTAACACACTTCTGCAAAGCAGAATTCTATCAATTCATGTTTTGCAATCAATGATTTATGATCTGTTTAAAGACATTTTATCAAAGTTTGTAAAACCAGTCTATGTTTTGTCTTCTATTTCTATATATGATGCGATTTATGGTGAAATAGAAAATCGGACGAAAAGATGAAGATTTGGTAATAGAAGCTGCAACTACAAAAGTAGTGGAAGAACTTTCAGAAGACAAAAATATTTTTTATCATGTTAGAAGTTACTTTTGTCTAGTATGTGACAGAAGTAACTTCTAACATGAAAACTACATAAATTTCTAGTCAATGATGAAGAGATTTTGCATGCTAAAATTGCTGATGTTTCTGCTCTAGCAAATGCATCTTTTTCTGATATAATGTACTTTTTGAACAGATTTCCTGTTTATGTTACTTCATTTAATCATGAAAGATGATGATTGTGCTGCCACTGATATATTGCAGTTGAAATTTTGCAGTTTAAAATTAGAGAATTTGGATGAACTTATAAAATCAGCTAGGATTGAATCAGCCCAGTGAAGTTTAATTGGAAAATTGTAAAGTGCTGATGGAATTTTAAAATAAAGTGAACTGTCTAGAATTATGTTGGTCATTTTGACAGTTTCCCATAGCAATGCACAGTGTGAGGGGATTTTCAGTGTTGTTGCGAAAACGAGGACTAAATTTAGATCTAATATTAGTGATGATACATGAAAAAAAAACTTATTAGTAAAAGCAAGCCTACGTGGCAATTGCTATGAACGAAATTATGAAGTTTCTTTCTTAATGAAAGCAAAATCTGCCACTGTTCATAACATTTGTACGAAAACTGATTAAAGTGTTTTTCCTCCCTTAAACGATGCAAGTAATAAAAATGTGTTTTATGTGTAAGGTATTTTTGTGTTGCTTGCATTTTAAGAATATTTAACTACAGTCAAAAGTCTTTAATCCGGACTGGTCGGGACTTCGGCGATTCCGGATTATCGGTTTTTACGGATTGTAGATCATCAGTTTAAATCTGGTAAGATGGCATGCAAAAATTATAAAATTAAAAATGTGAAACCGTAATTTATGAAATAAAGAGCAATTATGATCTAAAGGGTATCAAAATTTACAAAAAAAGCTTAATATTTATTTGTTTACTTTATTAAACATTTCTTTTAATGCGCACATGAGTAAAGCATACGTTACGCATAGTTGAAATTAGAAAATTGCAACCAGAAAACTATTTGATGTGTATTCGTGATATTTATAATGACGAGGAATTTAAGTCATATCAAAGACGGAGCATATCAAGATGAAATGCTATATTTAGTAAGGAATTATGAGCCGAATAAAATAAATAACATCTGTCCTGAAGATAAGGATAGTGCTGACAGATCAACTTCCAGTTCATTGCGCGCTGCGTCGCCCCCCTTCCCCGCAAAGCAGCATGAAATTGATAAACATATTTCGGAATAGTTGGAGGATCAAAGGATGTGCCTTTATCCATTTTTTGTAGCAATTCCACTTTTTGTTTGATTTCGCTTTGTAGATCCTTTGGTAGCTCCAGAATCGGAAATTCTTTTTGACGTAATCGAAAGTTCAAGTTTACTTTTATAAAATTGCTCTAACAGTCTGCAAAAAATAATAAGCCAGATCCAATTAGAAGATTAAGGAACAACGCAATCTGCAGCATTAACTGAAATAGATAACTAGATAATTTTAGCTTAGCTTATACCGTCTGTTATACATTAAACGTGCATGTTTAAACGTATTATGCACATGCGTTGACGTATGCGCAGAAACGCAGAAAGTTTGTAGCTTTGAGTTCCGGATTAAAGAGTTTTGACTGTATTTAAAGTTTAATTCATTAACTTTGTGAAAAAATCTCCTGATTTTTTAGTGTCGTATGTGGGCAGGTATGTATTAAAAATAAACTGAAACTGTATTATTCTAATATTTATATTATAATCTGTCATCTCTTACTTGCTTCTATGATGTTATAGCATCGTGGCCATCTTTTCTGTTTTATTGGTAGCTGCATATCTATGAATTGGTGAGATCTGTATGTGTTGCTTATATCATTAAATACAATATCACTGTGCTTTTTGCACAAAAGAACAGTAGAAATATGTCTAGAGATTCAACAAAGTTCTAAAAGCAATACGGTGGTATTGTTGGCCTAGCAATTCTGTAATTTTTCACAGTAAATTGATTACAGAGCATAATGTTGTGTCCGGGGCCTGACAAGAACATTACGGTTCAGTCTTCGATACTGAAGAGGTTTTACATCTGCGGAACCTTGGAGGTTAGGTAAGTATACCAGCTTTACTGCTATGTCTTTAAAACCATTCCTGTACAGTGTATGATTGATATCATGGTACATTATCTGCTTGTAAAAGCACATTCTCTAAGCATAAGAGCATGAAAGATTGTAGGCAGCCAGTTCAGTATAATCCAAGCATATGATCTCATCCAGTGTGATAAGAGGACCTATTGAGGACTACATATAGGTGTCTCCCTAACTGTTAACATCTCCATTACCAACCAGTAAAATAGCTGTTTGACAGAAGGGATTGAATGCTATGTGCAGATTACTTCATTCACGAATTCTGCCATTCGCCAGCAGCAGCAGGAATCTTTATACATTGGACTGAACTGAATGACACATTTACAGTATTCTGCTATCCAGCGCAGTATGGTTGTTGATGAATGGCCCTTCTGCACTTGCATTAAAATCTGTCTTAATATGATGTAAGAATGTGTTTTTTGTTAACTAAGTGATATATCAGAGTTTGCAGTTATCTTGCATGTCAGTTGCTGTTAATGGCTACATTTTACATGATTCATGTTGAATTTTTGCTTTTATAGTTCTAGTATACAGAACTGCATATGTTGATATTAAGTATCCAGTGTTGCAAGCACTGATAATTTTTCCATGATCAAACTTGCTTAGATTGCTGTTTTTATCCATGGTGATCTTTGGAATGCCTGTAAAAACTCTTATATTTATACTCTGGGGTGCTGATAAACTGGTCTTCATTGGTTCCCATTGTGCTTATTTATGGTTGCTTCTCGGGTCTTTACAGTGTATATACATATCTTTAATTCAGTTTAATCTGCCTTCTCAGTTTTCCAGTTAAGATTACTCAGCTGTTCTTTACTGTATTGCACATTTCCATTTGCCTTTAAGTTCCAATCTTTAGAAAGTTGAAGATAATGTCTTTTTTACAGGATGGTCATGAAGAAATTTATGGCATGGCTTCATCATTGAACACATCTTCCATTCAGTTCAGCTATTTGGGATATTTCTGCTAGATTGCGACTTGACTCTCCTCTCACTTTTAATTAGATTAAATATGAATAGCTATGTGCACTTTATATTGTAGATGACAACTAGACATTAAAATCTTTGTGTTTATCGTTATTTTGCTATCATTTATTTTTTAAGGTCTTTATATCTGTGTTCCATAAATTGGGGGAGAATTTGGAAATCTCATTTAATCTCGTGTCGAACTTTAAACATTCCAGAGGAAAGGAATGAAAGCTCGTTAAAAAAGATATACATTGTGGACTTTTTCTAATATTGATGGGTTATACACTTGATTCGAAAGCAGTTGTGCTTTAGGTTTTTTCTTTTATCTTGGTTATTTGTGATTGTCTGTGATACAGCATCCAATTATTGTTTGGTGTTTTTCAGCAGGTTAAAAAATATTTCTTTTAGAGATTAACCTTTTTCTCAATTCTCTTCTTTACAATGTTTTAAATTAAAAAGTGAAGTTATGATTCTTTTCATTTATAGGAGAAAATATGAAAGTATCACTTATATAACCAAGTCTCCTATATTTATAGAAAACAAGAACTTTGGAATTTTGCAAAATAGAACAGTGTTATTTGATATTAAGTGTACTGTTTTCTTCGTTTCCTTCCTAGGGCTGTGAAAGGTTGTACGTATGTGATTCATACAGCTTCTCCATTTCCCAGTACTACACCTTCAAATCCCGATGATGTATTAAAACCTGCTGTGAATGGTACAAGGAATATTTTGCAAGCATGTGCTGAAGCTGGTACTGTAAAAAGGGTTGTAATTACAAGTTCTATTGCAGCTATTCATGGTTAGTTATGTTTTAATATTTTATAAAGTTGTCTACTATATAAAGAATTGCCTGCTATATAATATTGTTTTATAGGAGAAATGGTTATGGAAGAAGG